TTTTCGCTTGGGTGAACTGGGACAATTGCTGAGGATCTTCCCCCGGGCTTGCCTACTGAGTCACTGTGCTCTGCTCAGCTGTGTTCCTAGCCTTCCCAGGAGGAGAGCGTATTTTCATGAATAAAATAGCCTCTTGCACAACAGGAGCAGCAAGCAGAGCAGAGCATTGGAGTCAGTCCTAGTCGAGTCCCTGCAGTAGCCAAAGGAAAGCAGCTGTGAGATGGTGTTGGCTGGCTCTGTGGGAATGTCACAAGCTGAGCTGGGATGCTGCAGAGAGCGCCTTTAGTCATGTGGGGTCTTTAGGACAGGAAGGGTGGTGCATGGACCTGAGTTTCCTTTTTCCTGGTCCCTGCAGGCCCCCCACTGTGCAGGCCCTTGTTGGGAGACTGTGGGCTTTTAGAGCGGAGGCTCTATCCTGGGACCACTGAATTCCCTAGAGCAGTGGTTGGCAAACTCATTAGTCAACAGAGCCAAATATCAATGGTACAACGATTGAATTTCTTTTGAGAGCCAAATTTTTAAAACTTATACTTCTATCGCCACTTCTTCAAAATAGACTCGCCGAGGCCGGGGTATTTTGTGGAAGAGCCACACTCAAGAGGCCAAAGAGCCACATGTGGTTCTCAAGTTTGCTGACCACGGCCCTAGAGGGAGTGCCATCAAAAGCTCAATATTCAATACACCAATGCTCACTATCCAATCATCAACCACAGAGGGAAATGGTGGGAGACCAGTTGGTGCTTAGATCGCTGTGGATTTTGTGAAGGATTTTTAGGCCATGTTTGGCTCACTGGACTCTTTTTTTTTTTAAATTTAATAAATCTTTATTGTTCAGATTATTACAGTTGTTCTTCTTCCCATAGCTCCCTTCCACCTGGTTCCCATCCCACCCTCTTCCTTTACCTTTTCCCCATTGTCCTCATCCATAGGTACGCTTTTTGTTCAGTCTCTTCCAGCACCTCCCACACCGTTATCCCCCTGAGAGTTGTCAGTCCACTCCCTTTCTATGCCCCTGATTCTATTATAGTCACCAATTTATCCTATACATTAAATAATTTTTAATTCACTTGATTTTTAGATTCATTTGTTGATAGGTATGTATTTGTTGTTTATAATTTATATCTTTACCTTTTTTTTCTTCTTTTTCTTATTAGAGAATACCTTTCAGCATTTCATATAATTCTGGTTTGGTGTTGATGAACTCCTTTAGTTTTTTCTTATCTGTGAAACTCTCTAGCTGATCTTCCATTCTGAATGTTAGCTTGGCTGGGTAGAATACTCTTGGTTGCAGGTTCTTGCTATTCATCACTTTGAATATTTCTTGCCACTCCCGACTGGCCTGCATAGTTTCTGTTGAGAAATCAGCTGACAATTGTATGGATGCTCCCTTGTAGGTAATTAAAGGTTTTTTCTCTCGTTGCTTTTAATATTCTCTCTTTGTTTTTTGCTCTTGACATTTTAATTATAATGTGTCTTGGTGTGGTCCTCTTTGGATTCCTCTTGTTTGGGGTTCTGTGCACTGCCTGGACTTGTAAGTCTATTTCTTTCACCATGTGGGGGAAGTTTTCTGTCATTATTTCTTCAAATGGGTTTTCAGTATCTTGCTCTCTCTCTTCTTCTGGCACCCCCATAATTCTGGTGTTGGTATGTTTGAAGTTGTCTCAGAGGCTCCTTACACTATTTTCAAATTTTTGGATTCTTTTTCTTTTAGCTTTTCCAGTTGAGTGTTTTTTGCTTCTTTGTATTTCAAATCTTTGATTTGATTCTTGCATTCCTCTAGTTTGCTGTTGGGTATCTGGATAATATTTTTTATTTCAGTCAGTGTATGTTTAATTTCTAGTTGGTCCTTTTCCATATCCTTGAGGTCTCTCTCATATCCTCAAGGCCTTGCTAATTTATAGGCCTTTTCTAGGAAATTCTTGAAAAACCTTATAACCGTGGTTTTGAACTCTATCTCCAGTTGTTTGGTTTCCTCCATTTCTTTTGTTTGTGATCTGTTTTTTTTTTTTTTTTTTTTTTGTTTTTTTTTGTTTTTTTTTGGCTTTGCATTTTTGCTGCTTCTCTGAGTTGGTAGGGTAGCTTTGTTTGTTAGGTGTCCTATATGGGCCAGTGGCTCAGTTTTCCCTGTTACCTGAGGACACTCTTGGTGCACCCCTTTGTGGACTGTGTGTTGTAGTTAAGTCTTGATTGTTGTTGGTATCAGTGGGAGGAGTGGACCTCCAGGCCAATTGGCTGTGAGGATCAGCTGTGTCTATGCTGGGAAACATCCTTATTTGACTAGACTTGCAAAATTGCAAAAGCCTCTGTGCTCAGCTTGTATGGGGCGGAGTTTCAGGGTGGAGCCTACAGCCTTGGCTTCCCATCAGCCCCACCCTATGAGGTTCCTAAGTCTCAGGGTTCCTCAGTGTCCCTGGGTACTTGCTGCAAGCACCTCTGAAAGAAAGGCACCCTCGAGTTTTGCCCACTTCCAGACAGTCTAGTCTCTCCCCCAATGAATCTGGATTCCCAGATTCTTGCCCTGAACTGGGGTTTAGCACAGTCTGGAGCTTTTGTCTCCTTCCCAGGAGGGCAATCAGTGGCACAGTCAACAGTTTGTCCTCTGCACACATTCATGTGTGTGCCTCCAGGGCTCTGCCTTTCACCGCTCCCCTGAGTTTCCGCCTTACAGCCCAGATTCCCTCAGTATGAGCCTGGGTCCTCAGGGTCTTGCCCAGAACTGAGGTTCAGTGCAGTAGGAACTAGGGTTCAGCACAGTCTGGAGCTTTTATCTACTTCCTGCTAGAGAACATTAGCCAGGCACTCAGCCATCCCTTCCTCTCCGACTCCGTTCTCTCCACATGCGTGTGTGCCCATGTCTCTGTACCTCTGGCTTTTACAGCTCCTCTGATTTTCCTTGTGGTTTTCTCTTTCCATCTAGTTGTAGAATTTCCAGTCAGTCAGCTTTCCTGTGGTTCTGGATGATGTCCATTTTGTCTTTTAGTTATATTTTTGAAATTGTTGTGCGAGGCTGCAGTTTAGGAGTTTACTATGCAGCCATCTGGGTTTCTCTTGGCTCACTGTACTCTTAAGAAAGGTGGAAGAGGTTTACTTTTTTTTGGGGTGGTGATGGTAAGGAACATTTCATTTGGGGGAAGTTATTTAAAAAAATTTTTTTTTATTGATTAAGGTATTACATATGTGTCCTTATCACCCTATTATTCCCCCACCCCCACCTCATGCTCTCATCTCCCTGGTGTCTGTGTCCATTGGTTAGGCTCATATGCATGCATACAAGTCCTTTGGTTGATCTCTCCCCCTTATCTCCATCCTCCCCTATTTTCCCTCTGAGGTTTGATGAGCTTCTGTCTCTGGATCTGTTTTTGTTCATCAGTTTATGTTGTTCATTATATTCCATAAATGAGTGAGATCATGTGGTATTTATCTTTCTCTGACTGGCTTATTTCACTTAGTATAATGCTCTTTAGTTCCATCAATGCTATTGCAAATGGTAAGAATTCCTTCTTTTCGCCATATTGTAGTATTTCATTGTGTAGATGTAACGCAGTTTTTTAATCCACTCATCTGCTGATGGGTACTTAAGGTGTTTCCAAATTTTAGCTATAGTGAATTGTACTGTTATGAACATAGGGGTGCATATATCCTTTCTGATTGGTATTTCTAGTTTCTTGGGATATATTCCTAGAAGTGGGATCACTGGGTCAAATGGGAGTTCCATTTTTAGTGTTTTTTTTTGAAACTCCATACTGTTTTCCACAGTGGCTGCACCAGTCTGCATCCCCATCAGCAGTGTACTAGGGTTTCCTTTTCTCCACATCCTCGCGAGCACTTGTTGTTCATTGATTTGTTGATGATAGCCATTCTGACAGGTGTGAGGTGGTACTGCATTGTCTTTTTGATTTGCATCTCTTGGATGATTAGTGACTTTGAGCATGTTTTCATGTCTCTTGGCCTTCCTTCTATCTTCTTTTGAAAAGTATCTATTTAGGTCAATTGCCCATTTTTTGATTGGGTTGTTTATCTTTCTTTTGTTAAGTTGTATGCGTCCCCTGTAAATGTTGGAGAATAAACCTTTATCAGTGATAACATTGGCAAATATGTTCTCCCATGCAGTGGGATTTTTTCTTCTTCTTCTTCTTCTTTTTTTAAGAACCAAAATAAATTTATTTACAAAATTTCTTACTTGACCAGTGAAGAACCAAGAAAAAATATACCAAGAAACAGTCAACTATGACCCCACAAATAGTCTTTAACCCACTTCATAAAACACAACAACCAGAGCAGCTCCTGATAATTAGGCTTGAAAAAAGTCCTTCTACATTTCCTTCAATGAATAAGAACATACATTTAACCACAGGATCTGTATAAGTAACATCATGTACTTGTAGACTCACTTGAGTCACAGTTTCTAGTGTGTTTTTCCCTTTCTACCTTACATAGATGTTTCACCAGGTTTGTTGATTCCTTCATTGGCTTCATTTTCTTTTTCTTCTCCTTTGCTGGATTTCTCTTTTTCTCCTCTGTTGGCTCCTTTCTCTTCTTCTTTGTCTTGAACACTGGTGTAAACTACTTTGTTATGGCCTTCCCGGCTCTGAGCAATTTCAATGGCAAAAAATTGTATCCTGGGGGCAAAGATAGTGTTTTCCTCAGTATATCCTTGAGAACAATCCAGTTGCAGCAAAGTACCATAGCTGAAGTCTTCTATAACCCCATCAAACTTCAAACAAAATGGCCTCCACTTTTCTTTTTTTTCTTTTTTTCTTTTTTTCTTTTTTTAAAATATGTTTTTATTGATTTTGTACAGAGAGGAAGGGAGAGAGATAGAGAGCTAGAAACATCGATGAGAGAGAGAGTCATCGATCAGCTGCCTCTTGCACACCCCCTACCGGGGATATGCCTGCAACCAAGGTACATGCCCTTGATCGGAATCGAACCCGGGACCTCTCAGTCCCCAAGCCGACGCTCTATCCATTAAGCCAAACCGGTTTCAGCTCCACTTTTCTTTAGCTGATATTAAGTTCTTCTGGATCCAATACATCTATCCTGAGTTTCTCAATTTTTTTTCGAAATTCAGTATAGATTTGGTCATCCACTTTGGTGAGTTTCAGGAACTGTGGGTCAACTGATGAAATCAACTTGTAGTAGACTTCAGCATGCTGCATTGCTCTCATGGCCCATGCCATCTCAATATCAGGGTGGTTGTCGTAAGACTTGGCTGGGAGAGAAAGAGCATGTACCACAGATACCAGTTCCCCAGAAACTGGCTCTTCAGTTTCACCAGTCGCCTCCATGTTGCAGCTAACAAAGCCACTTCTTATTTTGTTGATCTTTCCTTTGCTGTACAGAATCTTTTTATTTTTATGTAGTTTGGGGGGAGTTTTTACAATTTTTTTTTTTTTTGTGTGTGTGTGTGTGTGAGCCCGAAAAAACAAGTATAGGCTGCAATGTAATACTTGAAAAATTGGAGTAAAAACTAGGAGGAATGTTGATCCTATCTGAGCCTCATAAAAGTCCTATTACATAGATGCTATAGGTGTGTGGCCTTGACCCTGCTTTATAGGTGAGAAAATTAAGACCCACAAGGGGCTTTAGAAGTGACCATGGAGGACGTGCCATGATCGGCAGGCGTGAGATTTAGGTTCAGGTCTTCCTGCATGAGTTACAAGGGCTGGACCGAGAGTTGTTGGTGTCTGGGCTAAGCTTTACTCAACACTTCGCCAGCATGGGGGATAGGAACACAGGACCGCACGACTCATTGCTCTGCTTGGAGGTGGAGGACAGGGCTCCTGTGAGGAGATTCAAGCCATAGAGCAGCAAGGCTGCTGGGGAGGCCCAGCACGTCCCCAGGTGTTCGGGATGGGGACCAACGGATCACATAGGCCAGGAGCTTCGATCGCCTCTTTGCTTGCACACCACCTTGAAGGGTCTTTTGAAGAACTATGAGCTCCCCTCATACATTGTGAGGCTGACATTCAAAATTTTCTTTACATTTTCATAGTTGTAAGGAATATTATAAGTACTGGTGTTTAAAATAGAAAAATGTTACATGTTTAAATAATTGTATCCAATGGAATCTAAACACCAGAATGATTTGATGCCTACCATTATTCATTTAAACACGGATGAAAAAATCCTTTGAAATTATACATAGTTCCTTTCAGTTCTCCTTGAACTTACAACAACTTCTTCTTCTTCTTCTTCTTCTTCTTCTTCTTCTTCTTCTTCTTCTTCTTCTTCTTCTTCTTCTTCTTCTTCTTCTTCTTCTTCTTTTTCTTCTTCTTCTTCTCCTCCTCCTCCTCCTCCTCCTCCTCCTCCTCCTCCTCCTCCTCCTCCTCCTCTTTCGTCTTTTTTAAAATTTCCACTCAGGGTTTTATTCCAATAAAACATATCTTTATACTGCAGAGGGTTTTATTGATCTTTTTATCATGGTTCTCTGCAAGCATACATATACATTGAAACATTGAAGCAAAAATGTGGCTTTCTGGAATCCTGAGGCTTTTAGGGCTTAACATTTTTCTTCTGAGTAAATTATTATTAATATAATTGGAACACATAGCAGAAATTCATTCTAAAAAAGAGGAAATAATCATTGAGCATAAAAAGTGGCATTTTATTGGACCTTATCTTTTAATAAAGTGGCTTTTAAACAGGGCTGTTCCAAAGGAGGAAATTACTTATTACCGTTATGATACAGGGTTCAGCATTAATTCTGTTCTGATGTTTATTTTTTCTCTGGATCCAAGTTCTGAGAAACACAGGAATAACTAGAAATAGAAGAGGTTTGTCACAGTGATGTTGCTTGTTGATTTAAAGGTCCTTCTGACTTATATGCTAAAAAGCACATGGAGATCTGTCAGAAAAGGTATGCCTAACGATCCAGGGGCTGACAGTTCAATGAGGTCCTGCAAAGGAAGCGAGGAACTGGGAGCTGCTGGACGTGTGGTCAGACGCATGCCCAGACCTCAGGGCCATTCGTTTTCCGAGCACGCACTCCGCTGTTGAAAAAAGCCCTCTGCTTTCCTTCCAGAGTGTCTGGATGTGGGCACACTGCACTGGGGGGAAGTGCAGGTGGGAAGGTGGGTTTTTCTCTGGTGGAGGGGGAGGGAGAGAGATGAGGGGGAGAGGGGAAGGGAGGGAAGGGAAGGAGGAGAGGAGACAGCAGGATGCTCAGCACTCTTCTGGTTGGGCACCGGGAATGCGCTCAGATCCAATTAAAAAATATATTTTATTGATTTTTGTACAGAGAGGAAGGGAGAGGGATAGAGAGTTAGAAACATTGATGAGAGAGAATCATCAATCAGCTGCCTCTTGCACACCCCCTACTGGGGATGTGCCCGCAACCAAGGTACATGCCCTTGACCGGAATCAAACCTGTAACCTTTCAGTCCACAGACCGACGCTCTACCACTGAGCCAAACCGGTTTCGGCTCAGATCCGATTTAGAAAGAACTCATTGATACTTGAGAACCTGGAAATCCATTCCCCTAGGGCTGGTCCCTGAGTTTTTGAGGTGCTCACACCCCACTTTGTTCACTGTTACAGGCCACGGGGCTGAGCCAATCACGGTCAGCGGGGACCTCGGGTGGGTTTGCCCAGGTAGCTGGGCTTTGCAGGACCTATGTAAACGGGGTGCAGTTTGGACAACGGGGAGAAAGAGAAAATGTAGTGAATTGATTAAAAACACGGGCTTGGGAGTTAGAGGGCCGGTCAAAGCCTGGCCCCAACAATGGGTCTCAGAATCCTGGGAGCTCTTCACCGTCTTCATCAGCCTGTTTAGGAGTTCTGTTCGGGAGCTGGCTGAGCCCCCTTTCTCGTGTGCAGAGTGGGGGTCATGACAGTATTTACAGCCTTAGGCTCCGGGCAAGCCCTGGGAGAGAACGAAAGATGTGGCTTGGGGTTAGCATAGTCCTCAGTGCCCCTGGTTGACCCTGGTTCCAGCAGCACCCATCCAGTTTAGTGGGCAATCTGTTTCCAACCCCTCCTGCCGAGGCTGCTGCCCTGGGTGGCATTTGCTCTCTAGCACCCCTCTCTCTGCGGTTCACCTTCCCGCGTCAGGCATGGTGTGGACAGAGCTAGAATTTAATGCTGCTGCTCACCGTGGTTGTGTTTGGACTACCTGCACAATGCACATGGGCAGGCATTGGCACGACTCTCTGATGTCTGTTCTCTCTTTTTAATTTTTTAATTTTTATTTTTTTGAAGGAATATTTAATATTAACATTGTGAGTTATTATCTTTTGCATATCCAAGTTACACATTTCAAACAAATCGTCATTTATATTTACAGTATACAGATGCAAAGCTTTAATTTCCCACTAAATCATCACTCTCTTAAAATGGTACATGTGATGTTATGAAATTAGCTATTAAGCATTCGAAATAGTGGAAAAGAGGTCCTTTCTTCAGTCTTTTTATTTTTTTTAAATATATATATATTTTTTGACTTTTTTTTTTGCCCCCCCTCCCTCCCTCACATCCCTTCCCTCCCGAGTTTTATGTCCATTGGTTGTACTTATGTGCATGTATAAAAGTCCTTCGGTTGATCTATTATCTCCCCCAGATCTTCCTCCCCTCCCCGCTGTAATTTGACAGTCTGCTTGTTGATATACTGTCTCTATATATATCTTTTGGTTCATCAGTTTATAATGTTCTTTATTATCCACAAATGAGTGAGGTCATGTGGTGTTTTTCTTTCAATGACTGGCTTATTTCACTCAGCATGATGTTATCCATTTCCATCCAAGTTGCTGCAAATGATGAGAATTCCTTCTTTTTTATGGCAGCATAGTATTCCATTGTGTAGATGTACCAAAGTTTTTTGATCCAATCATCTGCTGATGGGCACCTAGGCTGTTTCCAAATTCTAGCTATTGTAGATTGTGCTGCTATGAACATAGGAGTGCATATATCCTTTCTGATTGGTGTTTATAGTTTCTTGGGATATATTCCTAGGAGTGGGATTACTGGGTCAAATGGGAGTTCCATTTTCAGTTTTTTGAGGAAACTCCACACTGTTCTCCACAGTGGTTGCACCAGTCTGCATTCCCACCAGCAGTGCACAAGAGTTCCCTTTTCTCCACAGCCTCGCCAACACATGTCGTTTGTTGATCTGTTGATGTTGGCCATTCTGACAGGTGTGAGATGGTACCGCATTTTTGTTTTGATTTGCATCTCTCGGATAATTAGTGACTTTGAGCATGTTTTCATGTGCCTTTTGGCCTTCCTTCTGTCTTCTTTTGGAAATATTCTATTTAGGTCCATTGCCCATTTTTTAATTGGATCATTCATCTTCCTTTTATTTAGTTGTATAAGCTGTTTGTAGATGTTGGAGATTAAACCTTTATCAGTGGTAACATTTGCAAATATGTTCTCCCACACAGTGGGCTTTCTTGTTGTTTTGTTGATGGTTTCTTTTGCTGTAAAAAAGCTTTTTATTTTGATGTAGTCCCATTTGTTTATTTTCTCTTTAGCTTCCATTGCCCTAGGGGCAGTATCAGTGAAGAAGTTCTTTTGGCATGTGTCTGAGATTTTGCTGCCCGTGGATGCTTCTAGTATTTTTATGGTTTCCCGTCTGATGTTTAAGTCCTGTATCCATTTTGAGTTTACTTTTGTGTATGGTGTAAGTTGGTGATCCAGTTTCATTCTCTTGCATGTATCTGTCCAATTTTCCCAACACCATTTATTGAAGAGACTGTCTTGACTCCATTGTATATTCGTGCCTCCTTTGTCAAATATTAATTGAGCATAGTGATTTGGGTTGATATCTGGGTTCTCGATTCGATTCCATTGATCTATATGTCTGTTTTTGTGCCAGTACCAGGCTGTTTTGAGAACAGGGGCTTTGTAATACAGTTTGAAGTCTGGTATTGAGATTCCTCCTACTTTACTCTTCTTTCTCAGGATTGCTGTGGCTATTCGGGGTCTTTTATTGTTCCAAATGAACTTTTGGAGAGTTCTTTCTATGTCAGTGAAGTATGCCGTTGGTATTTTAATGGGGAGTGCATTGAACCTATAGATTGCTTTAGGAAGTATGGACATTTTGATGATGTTGATTCTACCAATCCATGAACATGGTATGTTCTTCCATCTGTTTACATCTTCCTCTATCTCTTTTTTCAGTGTCGTGTAGTTTTCCTCATATAGGTCCTTTACTTCCTTAGTTAAATTTATTCCTAGGTATCTTAATTTTTTTGGTGCAATGGTAAATGGAATTGCTTTTTTAGTTTCTGTTTCTATAAATTCGCTATTGGTGTATAGAAATGCCATAGATTTCTTGGCGTTAATTTTGTAT